TATGGTTATTGTTTTTTTAGTTATTTTATGTCGAAATTGATAATATGCGTCACTTTAGCGAAAACTATTACGTCGCACTGTGGAACAAAAATCATTTTTCGTGGTCAAAAATTAAAAAAATAAAGTTAAAAGAAAAAAAAACTCAATATGGTTTTTTGTAGTAAAATGTCCAAGGAATATGACGGTGTATTTTGTTTTTTTGGTTTATTAATGGAAATAGCAATTAAATGGAAACAAAGTCAAAATAAAAAAATTAAATTTTTCAGTTAAATTTTATTAATGTGATAAATACTTATAGTAAATAAAAATATTAAAACTATGCGTGATTTATACATAAATGTATTTCCAAGATATATACGAATTCATTATTTTATATAAATACTACTAAAACCAGAGCCATTTCCCTATTTCTGCACTGTACAATGAAATTGTAACTTTAGGGTGCTCTATAAAAAAAGCCTTACGTTGCCGAGGTAAGAAAAAAAAATGTTTACATTTGTTTGGTATATATACTCAATAACTAAAAAAAAATTAGCGGCGAATATTTGCGAATTTGGCTGATATATCGATTTTTATAGTTCGTGTCATTTTTATAATAATGATAAAATTAATGAAAAAATTTTAAAAACAAATTTTGTGTTATAACATTTTTAAAATTTTTTATATCCAGCAAAATAGATTCATTGTTTTTTTTAAATTCGATAATCGAATTTGTAATTAACAATCTTAAATATTTTGATTCAATTTATTTAGTTTAAATTTGTTTTGGTAAATATTTGCGATTTTACATCCATTACTTTATTTATTAAAATTATTAACCACAAATTTGTAATCAAAGATCTTAACTACTAGTAAATAATTTTTATGTATTTATTTACAATTTTTTCAATAATCATCCGCCATTTTGTTTTTTTGAAATTTTGACTTCATATTTGAAATCAGCGACCCAAAAAGCCTATAGGTGATCAATTTTTAGAACATTGAATTTAATTTTCTAATTTTGGCTGCATTTTTCTGATTTTGTCCCACTGTGCGTCGCGGTGAGTCTGTAAATCTGGATATATAAAGAAATGCGTGCAAATTGACAAATAATTGACACAACTTGAAATTCATGTTTACAAAAACTGACATAACTCGAAATCCGTCTTTACGGAAATGAATACAGCTCAAAATGCGTGTCTAAAATAATGGATACAGTTAAAAAGTGTTTACGAAAGCAAACACAGCTACGTCACAGTGAGTTTGTAAATCTGGATGCAGCTCGAAATGAGTGCTTACGATGACGGACAAATCCCAAAATGTGTGTTTACGAAATGGACACAGCTCAAATGCATACTTGCAAAAATAGACACAGCTTAAAATTCACGTTTACGAAAATGGAAATAGCTCGAAACAGGCTTACAAAAATGAACATAGATCGAAATCCATGCTCACAAAAAAAAACCTAACTTGAAATGCTTATTTACCAAAATGAACACAGCTCAAAATTCATGTTCAAAATGTATGTTTTAAATGGTGGACACAGCTCGAAATACGTGTTTACGAAATTGAACATTGCTCAAAATGCGGGTTTAAGAAAATAGACACAGATCAAAATGCAGGCTTAAAATAATGGACACAGGTCGAGATGCTTGCTTGCGGAAATAGAACGGATTTCAAAAGGCATGTTAAAATAATGGACATGGCTCGAAATGCTTACTTACAAAAAATGAACACAGCTCAAAATATGTGTTTACAAAAGCAAACATAGCTCGAAATGCATGTTCGCGAAAACGAGTATGGCTTAAAATGCGTGCTTACAAATATAGACACAGCTAAAAATGCATGTTTAAAATAATGGACACAGCTTGAAATATTGTGCTTGCGAAAAGGGATATATCTATTTAGAAAAATTGATATAGTATTTGATTGCGTTTTTTAAACTTCTCTGATGAGTTTTGTCTATTTTTTAAAGAATAAACTCATGAATACAAATAAATTTGTAAAGTGATATCATCTATTTGTATTGAATTAATTTTATATTGTACAGCCGGACTTCTATTTAACGAACTTCCATTTCGCGAATTTCTCTATTTTGCGAATTTTTTCGAGGAACCGAGAGCATTTTGGAAATTTCTTCTTAAAATAACTTCTGAATAGCGAAGTGAATTTTCTATTTAACGAACTTTTCTTTGAGATCCACTTTTCCTGTTTCCCAAAGTATTTTGAAACATTTCAAACTTGTTAACGCATTTTATGGGAGAAATGACTTTGAATTAATTTTCGAAGCCACTTTTCGCTTTTTGTTTGCATTTCAAACGAAAAACTCAGACAAAGTTAACAGATTTTANCCACTTTCCCTATTTCCCAAAATATCTTGAAACATTTCAAACTTGTTAACTCATTTTATGGGAGAAATGACTTTGAATTAATTTTCGAAGCCACTTTTCGCTTTTTGTTTGCATTTCAAACGAAAAACTCAGACAAAGTTAACGGATTTTATTAGCAATTAAACTTAAGAACCCATGCGGTAATGTGTTTAAAATTATTTTTAAAATAAATGCAGCTATAATTTTATACATAAATGTAGCTTTTTTTATCGTTAAAAATACACATAGCATGATAGTGTAACACTGGATAATGTTTTGCTCTATTCTTTCTTTCCATGCAGATTTCTTTTACGGTTAAGATGTATAAAATAAATAGTAGATACTAGTTTACAAGATAAAGGTGTATCAATTGCTATTTTAATTATGTCTAGCGTTTAGGAATTTAAAACCTGTTTTGTGTTAAGTATTTCAAAAGTGATTTTCTATTTAACGAATTTTCCATATAACGAACTCATTATCAGGATTTAACGAATTCGTTAAATAGAGGTCCGACTGTAATTCACTCAAGATATTTTATTAATTAGTCTCTTTTTAAAAGACTTTAAAAAATCCACAGTTGTTCTAACAAAGATGCCACGGGTGATTTAAGTTTATAATAGTGTTATTAATATTAAGTTGCATTAATTAAGAATTTTAAAACTCACTTTATTTTTTTGAGTTCTGACCACGAAGACATCGCCTAAAAAGTTACACATGGAATATACCACCTAGACCCCGAATTCAGGGACTTCTCTCAATAATGATTATGCAAGGAAAAGTAGGTACGTATTTCCTCGTTTAAACATTTAAAAAATAGGTTGAAAACTGAAAAAGCCCATTTTTTAGTGTCACCTTTCGAACAGATTTAAAACCACAACCGACGATTAACGGGGGAATGCAGCCATACACCCTCATGTCTGTAAATGCAATTTATTTGAGTCTGATTATTTCTTGCATGATTTTGTATACATATATATTCAAGGAAAGGTAAGGAATTTGTAATTTACTAAGTCTCATGAACTGCGCATTAACTGCAAGCATATGAGATTTATAATATAATATATAATTGCAAAGAAAACAAGAAAAATATTAAAAAAAGTGGGAAATATATTTTATAAATTATTAAATTTAAGGAAATTCGAAATTAAATAAAATAAGGGAATATTATAAGGAAAAAATATAGTCTTTTCATCAACTCGCAAGATTATATCAATAACATAAATAGCGCTTTCTAAAACGGTATTAACGGTACAAAACAAAAATAATAACATACAAGACCATATGATGCGAAAAGGCAGAACAAATGCCATGTACTTGCAAAAAGAATTTTAAAATATTTTTCGTCACTAAGTTGCCAAAAAGCAAAATATGCATTTTACGCGTACATGGAGGATGGTGGGATAAATTTTTTAAGCACGTTCATACTCTAGTTAAAAACCGCATTTGAGTTGTTTGTTACTTTGGATTGGCCCGAAAACTGAATTTGCGTAACGTAATAATAATGTACTTACGTAAGTGTAGATACATAAATATTGAGTCAGATTGTTTTCTAAATTGGAACATGAGAGAGTTGTCTCCAACTAAAACTCGATCTGACTCAAAAATGGCTCTAAACTGGGCAAAGCGAGATTGAAAAACGTTGTTTACAGAAAAAGACATTAAAAGTTAACCTGTTTCACTTTTCTATTCAATTGAACTTATCTGTTGTCTTTTTTGGGATCATGTTTCTTTAAATATGCATGCTGTGAAATTCTGGGAAAATCATTGAGGCCATCTTTTGAAAAATTTGGAATTGTGTGTTCTTTTTTACAACTGATTATCCTTCTTTAAATTGATTTTGCAAATTGCTTACATCAGAAATTCTTTATAAAACCTGGAGAAAATGGGGAAATCCTTTACAAGGACTTAACCACCATTAATATAATTTTTTCTGTAGCTGTCGATTGATTTTGAAGGAGTTATAAAAATATACAGAGTCGAATAAAATTTATTTATAACTATCCTAAAATTCTTTTGACCGGACAGTTAGATTTCTTATGAGACTGAGTTCTCTTTAGCCATCGTCAAATTAAAGTGAGGAAAAGAGAAATATTTTCCCTTGTCTGAAAAAAAAATTTGTTACATTTTTCATGCATTAGCGGAAGCTTTGATATAAAAATTATGCAAAATCAAGGCATTTACATTTTGCGTTTATATTATACCAAATAAAAAAAAAACGTGAACAAAGTCAGTAAAAACGTGATTATTAAGTGTTATTTTAAAGTATTTCCCCCGTTATTTTTTGTGTATAGGAGATATCTGAAAAATCATGAAAATTTTTTTAAACACTGAAACAAGAAGAAAGTGAAAAAATAAAAGTACAGAAGTGGGCATACTATAGTTTCGGTCCAATTTACCTTCCACGGTGAATACCAAATGACAGTGGAAAAGTAAAAAAGACAAACACGGGCAAAGTGATATACCTAGAAAAGACAAAAGAATAAACTTGAACAACATGATAAACCTCTTCTTTTGCCTCCAAAACTTGCTTTTCTGTCCCTATTGGTTATACCACTGTTGTACGGGTTAGTCTCTTTAATTTTCTACTGTCATTTGGTGTTTAGACACCGACATTTCTGTTCACGTTTTGTTTAAGAAATTAGTTAAACTCACCGATTGTAGAAACGACTGTGCCAACAAAGTAGAAAGCTCCCGAATAGTCCCATCGTGCTCTCTTGTGTATGATGCCGGCAGCAGAAGCATTTCCGTATTCCCACAGAAGCATTTCTATGTCCTCCATGTCCACAGTATCGTTGTACTTGGCCATGAATTTCCTGTACACCTCCCAGTACTTGCGTCGATCTTTCACTTCTTGCTCCTCTTCCAACCACTGGAAGAGGGCCGCACCCCCCGCCATGTATCCCAACATCACAATCCCCAACAACAGAAATCGAGTGTTGTCTTCGTGCAAGCGCAACGCGCGACAGCAACCTCCCTCTCTTCTCCTCCTGCTCATAAAGAGTTCTTTCTGAGATTGACCACTCCGGATGACCACTCTATTTTTTATAAGTCCATCAGTGAAGACTATAGCAATGCACTCAGGATGCAACGAACGGCTTTTTTAGGTCAAAATGGTTTCTTTACCATCTTGAACCACTTTCTTTTCCTGTCTCAACAGGTTTTCTTTAGACACGAATTTTCTTCCCTTTTTTTGCCCCCTTTCTAAATTATCCTCCTATTGGACTCTTTATTTCTCTCAATTGATCTAAATTATCCTCCTATTGGATTCTTTATTTCTCTCAATTTGTCTAAATTATCCTCCTATTGGACTCTTTATTTCTCTCAATTGATCTAAATTATCCTCCTACTGAACTCTTTATTTCTCTCAATTTGTCTAAATTATACTCCTACTCTACTCTTTATTTCACCCAATTTTTCCAAATTATTCTCTATTTAGCAGTAATTTTCTATTAGCTTTCTTTTATGCATATATCTATACACATAAATTACCTTTTTGTTAAAATATAATATTTCTGACACCAAGTTATTAGTTGAAAAGAAACCACTTTCGGCTGCTATCTTTGTTTGAACAAACATTAATATTTTGATTTGGGCTCCTTTTTTCAACTGGCTATATTTCTAAACAGTTTCGTCAGCAAAACCACCAACAAAAGGTGGTTATTACCAGTAATTTGCTGAATCAATTTTAATACTTATCATCAATATATAATTTGATTCTTTGGTAACTATTTGTAATGAATAGATTCACTTCAAAGGTGAGTAATATATTTCTCATAGAATTTGAAATACTAAGAACGAACGTTATGAATCTAAGCCTAGTTTTGTAGAAAATTCTTTGACTAATTGTATCTCTATATTCAATTTGCTAATCACTAATGTAATCTATGTAGCGAATTAAAAATATGTATTCTTAGAACAATACTTTTCAGCTTGAAGGTTGCATCAGTAGATGTTTTCCAAAATGTTCATACATTCAATTTTTTAAGTTTCCGGACGAGAAACTATTTTACTTTAGGCATTTGTAAATACTTCAAAATATTGCATCATTTTTTTCAATATGCAAAATAACCGATTTCTGTCTGTACAAAAAAAGCGTTTTCGTTCTTCGAGAAATGCTGAATCTAGGGTCTAATCGTGTTTTCAGAATAATTGTGATTGATAAATATATTTTCTTCAGAAACATCAGAATTTACAAAATATACTCAAATATCAAAGTCGGCGGAAGGCAGCGAAAGCAAACTACCATCTATTTTTGCTTTAAATATTTTCTTTTTTAAGCTCGTTGCTATTTGTACAAAGTCTAAATATTCTGACAGCAAAAGGATTTTTTCGAAAATAAAAACACTGTTTTTAACTTTTTAAATTCTTTTCGTTCTTCCAGCAGCTCGAAATGAAATACCACCATTTTTCTTCACTTCAAATGAATATCATTCTTCTAATTAATATTTTTTTAAATCGTAAAATAATTCTTGCCAGCAAAAGAAAAAACAATGCTACTATGTTGCCTTTCTAGTGTTACTAAATGCACAATTAAATTTTTTTAAATTCTTTTAAAATGAGGTCGAACTAACTCTCGTCCACTGACAAAATATTGCATCAGTGTTATTTTTTATTTTTATTTTCTATTTAATTAAAAATGGCACCAATGATATGCCACGGACTGATCAGCGAGTAAAAGTAAGAAATCCAGAAACCCATCTAAAAATGTTCCAGAATGTCCCAGTATATTTTCATACTGTAAACAATATTCCAACTAAATTCTCTCATCTCTGTTCTAAATGATAACAAATGAAACTTACTGCGAATCTTTCTAGAATATTTCCAAACAAAATTTATTATGGCTGAGAGAAAATTCCTCTGATGGAAATGATATCCGATGTTGTTGTGACATCATTGCTTCACGTCCACGTGCAGCAGCCATTCTGTGAGAGGAATGATGCTGAAGATCCTCTTCCACAGTTGGCGCATCGTTATGCCAGCATTGCTATTCAGACAGGCCGCCGCCTCACTATCGACCAATGAAAACGCCTCTTTTTATTCTTTTTAGGGTGGACATTCCTCGCAAAACTCTTTCCGCAGCTGATCGGCATTTAAAAAAAAAATGAAGCATCCTTTCTGTGCATCTCAAACATGGTGAGGGATGAAGTCACGTGGGAGGGATGTTGTGTTGAGTGTGGTCACCATGGAAACGCTCTTGCCCATCTTTTTCCCCGACGCACCTGTTACCCCTCCCCGTCTCTGAAGAGACTTCGCTTTTCCAGGGATGGGAAGTTTCTTCGAAACTTTTCGTTCGAAAGAAAAACATTCTCACGTTCCCGAAAATCGAAAGATAGGCTCAATGAATTCTTTTAAAACTCTCCCTTCTTTCTTTTCTTTTCCCTTTTTTTCATCACCTTTTTTGTCAAAAATTATGAATTTTTTTTTGTTACGTTCAAACTGTCGGTTAAAAATTTTGACTAAAATAATTTGGCAAATGTATGTTGCATAAGAATTATTTAAATACATTATTTAAAAAACAAAGCAGGTAAGAAAAAAATGCTTATTTTTTAAAAAAAAATTTCCAACATATTTCAATAACTTTTTTTATTATTTTATTTTATCTCTTACAAAAGAATAACTCTCAGTTTTCTTAATTTTTTTATAATTCATCATCATCATCAACATAGTTGGACAGCCCAATGTGGGCCAATGCCTTCCTCTGAAAGCTCTCAATGCCTTCCTAATACCTTCCGATTTATCTTTGATCTCCAATTTTTTTCATTAATTGTAAGAAAATCAGACTCCGCCGAGTCAGCCCATCTCAACCGCAGCCTTCCCCGATTTCTCGTTCTAGTGTGTTTAAAAAGCAGCATCTTTTTTTTTATCGTATTGTCATCACTCATTCGAATTCATTCTATTTACTTTTATGTATTTGATAACATCAGGCTGCTTATAAATCTTGCACAGTTCGAAGTTAAATTTCCTTCTCCAGTTATTGTTTTCATTTACACGGTTACCACAGTTTCTGAGCCGGGATATCCTGGTCGGTAGGGCGCTGGGCCCATGTTCCCGCTGGCCGAAAACTCCTCGTGTAGTAAATGGTGACCGATGCACGTTAAATCTGTCGAGTCGCAAAGTCCTCCATGTTCCCATAACAAATCAATACCTCTGGGGTACTGGATTTGAGATTGATCGTTCTCTGATTCAGCAGAAGTCGAATTCTTGAAGTCGAACACTATTTAGTCTGAATTATTGCAACATATAAATTCTGGTATAACATTATTTATATTTGACTTTTGATCAAGAAACCGAACATTATTTTACATGCATATCTTGAATGGCCTACAAGACTTATGTATTGAATGATTTAAAGGATTATTACGAGGCAATTCTTTTAAATACAGAGCAAAATATTAATAGGAAATAAATCCTTTACATGTATTGTTTTAAGACCCGGTAAAAAGGTAGCAAAATAATTTTGCTTAATAAATATAACTAAAGATACAAATAAAATATGCATAGTATTTATGAATGAAATTAAAAATATTTTTCAAACTTGCCAGGAAAAATATTGATATAACTTTATAGAGAGCAATGCCTTAACCTCCATTTATTTACAAGCACCTCTATTTATATTTTAAGTGAATGTTATTAATAAACAAACGATCAAAATATTTTCAATATACAGTAAAGTTTTATTGGATTAGTTTTCTTTTTAATAATTACTTAAACGTAAACTAAGAAATGTCTGCTTATACGGAAAATAAAATAATTCAAAAACAAAACTTATCCATAAACACTTAAAATAATAAATAATTTTTTTTATTAAACTCGGAATTTCCTCATTCTATTATAATGAAACGTAAAAGAAATGCATTCGAAATGTTAAAAAAAATTCAATTTGAAATATTAAATGCGTCTGAAAATTTTGACAAGATATAACTCTGTTTGTAGATCAAACCTACAGCACGAGTTTTCAAATGATCAAATATATATGAAAAATAATTAAAAATTAAAATATTAAAATTATTGAATGATTACATGATTATTTTTATAGTTATTAATAGTAAATTAGTTTTCTTAAACAAAACAGTAAAATATTAATACCTTTTAAACTTTTCAGCAAATGCGACACTTTTCTATTGCAACACTCGAATACGCAATCTGTTGAGAAGGCCGGTTCCATGTTTCGACTCTCCTTCCTTCATTCTCCTCTTCTCAGTTGTATTGGAATATACTATGATATTTTCCCATTCCATACTATAAAAAAATATTTAACTGTATATGAATAAATATTAAAATGCATAATATAATAAATGTATAAATGTAAATGTATAATATTGAAATGTGTAAAAATATTTGTTTAAATTTCCACGATGATTTTTTAGAACTATGTTTAATGCAGTTTTCACTTCCATATTTCCCAACCTAAAATTTTTTAACCTGTTTGAAAATTAAAACAGAAACTAGCGTACTTCCTTCTCCTGTGACTATCAACACGCTAATAATAATTTAAAACCCCGTGCGCAAAACTGGAAGAAAAAAAAACCCGTCCTCTCCAGCTACTACGCCTATCAAGCAATAACAAAACCAAGGATAATAAAATCCAGTGCCCCCCCAAGCTCTTGGGCGCATTCATCCCCCCCCCCAAAAAAAATTGCTAACTTCCCCCTTCCATGTTAGCTTGTTCGAAATAATGCTACTTTGCTTGCTCATAATTTGACAATGCTTCTTTCATTTATGTACTTTAAAAAAATTCTATCGTCTAAATTCCCCCCCCCCCAAATTATTCATTTTATTTAGTGTAAAAATTCCCCCCCCCCAAGATTTAAGTGGGCGCATCCTGCGCCCACCTTCCCCCCTGATGGGGGCTTCTGGTCTGGGAGACATCCACGTGGATGATACGAAAACATGCCATCGCAATTTTAATCCTCTGCAGAGGGGATGGCTAACCTGATTTGGTAGACCGACGACCTCAGCGTGAAGTCGAATACTTTACTGTAGAACAGTTTTACGAGGACCGATACCGCTCACCTTCGATCCCTACTCAGACTAATCAAAGTGGTGCCCACCTGCTAACTGACCACAGCCAGTTTTGCTTGACTTCAGTGTTCGATTGGGAACCGTGTCTTTACTATCAGTCCAATGCGCATGTGTCCCACAGGTGGCGTAGAGCAGAACTCTTTACCTATGGCAATAATTCGCCAATAGCGTATGGAGAGTCATACGAGAAGGAAATCCGTTGGTTTCTGTCTTAATTTTCAAAAAGATTAAAAACTTTGAAGTAAGGAAGCT